ATTCAGACTAATTGAACTTCAAAAAGCACCAAATCTTTTATATTTCAGCCATTTTTAAATGGTAGTTTGAGAATAAAGGCTTCTTTTTATTTTATTAAATAGATTCTATGAAACACAATTTCCCGTCTCATTATTTAAAATCAATAAAGTGAATAGTAGATATTTTATTGGTATGTAACTGTGTTGCTATTTCCATGGATGAAAAGAGCGGATGCCCTTTCTAGTGCCCGCTTGCAGCAAACGGCATAACCGGGTGGTTTCGATGCCTCTGTGGTGCTCTCAGGTCGCCGTGTGATTGGTGAGACTGTCAGTTAGTAATACTGTACCAAGTGAGACACACCAGGCCTGCGTTTGTACACAGCGTGTTGTCCCCCAGCCCGAGAAGCTGAAGGAGTAAATAAGATCCAGAATGTACAATAGATACTGTGAAATGGGAAGAAACTTCAACAGGAAAGAGAAACTGAGACAGGGAAAGGATGAAAGGAGGGGCGAAGGAAAGAAAAGAGGAAGTGCACGCAAGTCGCTTAGGATAATTCTGCTAATTACCATTAGTTCATTGAAAAGAAAGGTTTATGCCTGTATTGTTTGATGAGTTCTGCGTGCCTGTATCTTGTAATCTGAGCAGCTAGTTTGAAGACAACAATATGCAGTGTAACCAGTGTCACTCTTCTATAATCTTGTTTAAAATTTTGTACTATTGTTTTTTTTGTCTGTAAAAAAAAAAAAATAGTACCATCCCAACACTGCTCCTGTAGCTAGACTAGACGTGTTTTGGAATTAGACGTGTCCCAACAGATGATGGGGACATTGTGTAGGATGTTTCTGGGTTGTGAAGATAGTTGTGAGTGTCGCATAGCTCAGTGAGGCCAGAATCCCCCTCACTGGGCTCGTGCTGCCGTCCAGACGGCTGGAGAGGCGGAGCGTCTCGGTGAGGCAGGAGCCGCATGGGGGGGAATGGAGGTGACAGGAGGGCTGTCTGATCAGTGATCTCGTTAGCCCCCCTGGGGTCAGGCTTGTGCTTTTGGTTCACACTGAGGTTCATGTGGAACTTGGGGACATTTGTGAGTTCAGATGCAAGTCACAAATGTGAACAGTGGAATATAAATTATTTTTAGGAAAAGTGGGGGAAAGTGCAAGGACATTCAGTTTGGAGAAACTTTATCTGGTTAAAATTAGGGAGTTTTTCCTTTTGCAGTAATTTGTATGATTAGAAGTTCCTGTAGGATCTAAAAACAAAAAGAATTTCCTACAGAATAACAAAGAAAAACAGTCTCCAAAAGAATAGCAGAGTCCGTGTGAGGGTGAGTGAAAGCAGGCTCTGTTTTGTCTGTCCCATCTAAAGATGAGAGAAAAGACTAAATGTTGTCCAAGTTTCTTTCAGCTCAGACCTCCAAGGTTCCATCGTGTTTGAGCTCTGGTGCTGCTGCTGAGCTGTGTCCGATTCTTGACAAGGCAGGGGTGGGCACTGGAGCCAATGGAAGATTCTAAGGCGTACGCTTTGCCCGCAGGTCTTTTATTGTCTAATCTAGGGCCAAGTATTACGGCCTTCTGTCTCATAATCTGTTGAGGAGAGCTTTCAAGAGGTGGGTAAGAGTGCTTGGTGGACAGACAGCAGGGCTCTTGCTGTAGAGGACTGTGAGGGCCTTGCAGCACTCTGCAGCCCCCCTCTGCCACTGCGCCCTCTCTCATTGCTGATTCCATACATTGTCACCTAAGGTGTATGCCTTAAGGGTACTGCAGGGGGTGAGGCTAATTTAGGGTAGTTAATTGTCTCTGTTAAGACATGTGTAAAATGAATGCGCGCTTAAAAGCTTCATAATTTTAATTTTTGTGTTTCACCCACCAGAACAAGATGTGACAGACTTAAAGCCTTCTGTGGACCAGAACATCACGCTCCAGTTTGATTTTCACTTTGAGTCTCTTTCCATTATCCTTTATAACAGCGATACCAGTCAGGTACGCAGTGATGTTCTCTAGTGGAGATAAATTGTAGCTCTTCGATCGTGTACCTATTTATTGAAAATTTAATACTACCGTCTGTGTGTCGTGTAAGACAGGAGCCCCTGCCGGGCCTGCAGCCTCCTCTGGACTTGCATTACTAATCCCACTTAGCAGAGAACCCCACTTGGGGGTCTTTTCTTTCCAGCGAAAGTGGACACCAAAGTACAGTATGATCTAACTAAAGAGTAGTTAGGTCCTCCGCTGCTAATGGAGGATTTTTATATACGTGTGATTAGTTATGCGTTGCATTTTGTGGTATAGCTAAGTATATATGTGTCCGTGCTGATTTAAGAAGAGTGGCTTTGGAGCTTTAGATGATTCTGAAATTCATGACTGTCTGTAGATGTAAATAGTGACTGTGTTTCTCTTAAATAAATGTTATATGTAGTGAATTTGTATTAAGGATACTGTTAATGATAGGCACTAATGTTTCAGTGCCATTTGAGAAAGTTTTTTTTTATGATGTCCATTTTCTAGAAACTAAAAGTGCAGGTCCTCCTTTGAGCCCTTACTAAGGCACCCACCTCCTTGTGCCCTCGTTCCCTGCCATTATCTATTAGAATGTCTGAACCTATCGTGTTTCCTCCCAAAGGAAACCTAGATGGAACGTAATGCGCCCTGAACTCTAGAGGTCAAAAATGTCAGCCCTAATCAGCATGTCCTTTCCTTACCCCATTACAGAGTAATGCAGGTAGCGATGGCAGGCAAGGCGAGGACAGACTTCTGGGGTGGCGTCTCTCATCTCTACTTTTTAGGCTCATTGTTTTCTAGCCAGGTCTTGTTTTCAGGGGAGGAGGGTGGCCTCTGCGCCCCCGTGCCCAAGCGCACCGCATGTGCTCGCCATCTGCCCCCGTGGGGCAGCCTCTGCTTCTGTCTGACCGCGCCCACCCTAAGGTGCAGTGAAGCGCTTACCTGTGGCGTGATTTTGTTTGTTTCAGGCCATGGTAGTTTTACCTCTCGGAGCTTTTGCTATTTGTATGCTTTTGTCTAACTACTTTACATCCTTCACGGAAATTGGGATGCTATAAATACTAATAAAAGTTACTGTACTTCACAAGGTATTTGGTTATTTACAACTTATAGCATCTCCTGGTAATGTTCCTTTAAATGTATTTCCGTTTTATTCTTTCAACTAAGGTGTAAACTCTTGGAGATCACTGGTGAGGCTGCTTTCTTATAAAGTCCCTAGTTCTTTTTTTTTTTTTTTTTTTTTGCACTTAGTACAGGGTCTCACTATGTAGATCGGACTCATAGTGATCCTCCTGTTTTCAGCCTCCCCAGTGCTGGGATTACAGATACGTGCCACCATGCCTGGTCTCCATCAAGTCTCAGCGCGCCCCAGGGGTGGGACCAGTGCGGCACGCCCTGAGATTGAGCCCCGGCTGGGCTCCTGCACCTACCTAAGCAGGGCTTTAGTCTGCTGAGCCATCGGCTGGCTCAGAGTCTCTAGTTCTTATCACAGTTGTTTATAGAATAGCTTGTTAGTGTTTATTAGCTAAAGTGCATCGTTACTGGAAGAAATGCTAAGTAGTTGTATTTGCATCAAACTGTATCAGGTTGCTTTTTATATAATAACTATTGCTGAGGATCAGGATACATACATGCCTTTATTTGTATGTGTGTATATACTGACAGACGGTGCATACCTGCGCCCTTTATGTGCTTTCCCACCCGTACTTTGAAAATTCATGAGACTGATTTGCCTTTAAGCTCTGCATTAAGAAATACATTTAAAAGCAATTACGTAATATTTAAAGCTGAGGCCGGGGAGATGGCTCAGTGGAATAAGCACTTCCCTGGCAAGTGCAAGGGCCTGAGTTCAATCCCCGGTTCCGCAAAAAAGTTTAAAGCTAATTGATATCTTTGCTTGCAAAATGTACTGCAGGATTCCACACTTTCACTTCATGACGACAGTTTCCGTCTCGGTGAGCTCAGGCTGCACCTGATGTCCTCCGCAGGGCGGGTGCTCAAGGACGGCTCC